CAGTTACTATATGCTAATGAGGCAAAATTTTGACCCAATATGGCAGAAGCTCTGGTGAGTGACCAACTAGGCGTGGCATTTTGGATGGTTGCTTAGGGGAGGTTTGACTGTTTGCTTTGTTTTCTTTAGTTAAATGTAAAATGTACATGTAGGTGTCAAAAAAGTTCCTGGACGTTCCTTTGAAGTTTCTAACGCAGTTTTCTTTGTTGTTTCAGCTGCCATCTTTGTTGTCACTTTTGTTCTTATGGGATTTAACTTGAGTATAGCTGTTATCGTGACCTTCACAGTGGCTATCATTATTGTCGACCTGCTGGGTCTCATGTACATATGGGATATCTCTCTCAATGCCGTGTCGCTGGTTAACCTTGTCATGGTACGTTCAAGAAATTTGAATTCCACTGTATAACATTTACAGCATAAGACAAAAGATATTTTTAAAACACAAGGTGCGGTCGTTTGCTTTGTACAGGTTACATTTGTAAACTGTTCAAGTTTTCAAACCAATACTGTTTGAGTTGAATTTTCCTTGTTGTAAGATGATGACACTCTGTATTTGACACCCTGCGATGGACTACATGTAGCTTTTCTAGGGGTTGAATTGTATGAGGTAACATCATAAATGATATGCTGATTACTGAGATATCCAAACGCCATCACATACACTATTTCCTGTGTTTAAACTCTATACCTTTTTCATGAGTTTGAGGATTGTTCTGACACTTGCTTTGTTTAATTGTTTTCTTGTTTCTACTCTTTGGTTTGCAGGCTCTTGGTATATCAGTTGAATTTTGCTCACACATTGCACGGGCTTTCGCTGTGAACAGACAAGACTCTAGGGTAGAAAGAGCGAAAGAAGCTCTAGCAAAAATGGGCAGCTCTGTAAGTTTGCTGTTTGTAATTTAATGCTTTTATTCTTACATGTATTTGCTGGGCATAAAGATACATGTATGTAATGATCGTGTGGTGTTCATGTACATCCATGTCCAATACTGTCAAGTATATTTGATCTGAAAAGAGAAATTTCGACTCATGCAATTCACAGAGCGACAACTCTTCTCTTCGGATCGTGCAAAATAACACTCTGTTCGTCGGGTCGAACGAATAGGTAGAGTTAGACTATGAGTTGTCCCTCTTTCACTTACTCCGTTGTGCGTGGCGCGAAAGTAAACCGCGAGGAGAAAATGGCGGCGCGAACTCCTGGTCTCGCCCTCAGGATTTCACGTGGCCATTGATTCCTCGTGGTTTATTTACGGTCTCGCTGAACGGACTGAGTGAAAGAGGGACTACTCGTAATCCAGGTATAATCGAAGTCCCTGTTTTTGGGGTAGAACCTGTTTGACAGTTCTGGACAATACTCTATGTATACAGCAGGTGGTGTGGTAAGAAAGGTAATTCACGGAACTCCATATCAAGTTTTAACATTGATCAGGGTTTCTGTTTTGTATTCTTGGGCAAGACACTTCACTCTGAGAAATAAACGCGAAATAAACGCAAAATGAACGCAAACAAATTGTCCGGGCAACAGGAATGTGGTGGGGCTCCATTAGCTGGACCATCCAGAAGAAGTGTCAGTTCTAAAGTTTTCCTTTACATAACAGTCACCTCGCAATAACTTTAACCTTGAAGGCAAATTGAAAAAAAGTTCGAGTTATCTATTGTTCGAGTTTACGGGAATATAGAACAAATGACCAGGAATAGGGAAAGAAACGATGTTTACTGTATTTCTATTCATACAGTGAACATGTTAATCAAATTTTGATGTTGCAATGAAACAATAGATTTCTAAATTATTGTATAAATCAGACCGTATAAACGTTAAGAGAAGCAAGAAAGCAAGCAAAGCAGCAGGAGAAGTCCAGGTATTGCGGATCTGTATTGAATTATATTGTGACTAAAACCTGGCCCTCCTGTCTTTTCACTGCTGGTGTAGTTGAGGTCAGAACCCAAAGTATATCCCTCCCCTCCCCCCCCCCCCCCC